ATTTCGCCTACTTCTTCGTTTCTATTTTTTTTTTTTTAGATCCCACTCCTGACACCAATTTGTTACGTCTTCGTTCGTTAATTGATTTTTCGTAACTTCGTTCCGACGAAACTTTAGCGACACAAGTCCTTTCTTAAATAAAACTGGTTTATTCTTTCCGAATACAACTTTACGATACACTTAATTTCAACAGTTGCGATATAATTCTCAATGAACGTCTCTCGTGCTCGAGTTCAATTGCACTCTCTGACTGCAGTTCAATTAATCACTACTACGCTGTTCCGTCACGTTGTGACCGTCTTATATATACCAGTCTACCCCCAATCTAGTATTCTCATGATAATTCACGAAAGTTCGAGAAGGATGTGGCGTGATACTAGTCACATGACCTTGCTGACGCAACAATATTTTGTTTATAATTGAACCATCCTGTTTGATCAGATGACCTATCACAACCGCCAATTAAAAACTTGATACCATTCAAACCTTTGACTTGTAACCAGTATAAGTTTAACCTCTTGACTTCCATTTTTGACGTCTTCAATCCTAACATGCTGCATTTCATCCCTTATATAGAACCACTCCACCTGTTCTCTTAACAAGTTTGTACAACCCTAATGAAGCTGCAAAGGTGAAATGTTGGTTAAAGTAAAAAGTTCTTTTATAATTATCTGGAGTATATAGGTCATTTCTTTTTAACCTTTTTATCAAAATGTGTAAATCCCTCAGTTTGCCCTACATATTTTGAAAGTTAACAAGTCTATAACTGTTAAATAATTTAGATTCTGGAATTTCCAAATATTTTCTATTTTGAGTATTCTCCATAGCTAACCAAGTTTCAGTAATTCACTTTATACCATAATATTTCATTTCAGCTACAGCTTTGAATGCTTCTACTTTGATCCTAACAAATATTTTTTCTATTCACTCATCCTTTTTAAAAATGAATAGCAAGGGTCTTGGGAGTCCAACTGAGATTCTACTGCAGAGTTTGGTTAGTGCAGAAAAACAAAAATATCTTGAGGTACATCATAAGGTAGAAAAAAATAGGCATATAAGATTTAGTATAGGCAGAATAGATATAGTAGGTTGAAAAATATTAATGCACTGCACCTATCTGTTGTTTGAGGTATGCTATTCTTATTTTGTTCTACCAACTGTGTACATTATACTTTGATGTTTTGTTTTTTCTTTTTCATGTTGCAGGGGTTACTTTAAGTTATTTTCCTCACTAACAAAAATCTAAAACAACAGGAAGAAGTTAGGAAATTGTTTTAGTGACTGTGGATGACATTTTCATTTGTTGAATTTCAAGGATGTTGAGAATTGGTATTGAATACCAAATATATTAAAAAAACATTATACAACAGTGCCATGGCCTGTAATAGTGAGGAAACTCTCCAAAACCAAAACACAAATGTTTTAAACCCTCATAAGCAAACAGCTAATAGTCTCACTTCCTCACCAAGTAATGTAAAAGCAGCATTCAGTTCACCTCTTGACAGACAAATAAATGACTACCTTGATCAAGAAGATAATGAGGAATTCCCTGAAGTTATGACTGGTTCATATGGGGAAATATCATTTGATCAAGAGCTAACATGTGACACAACCAAAATAGTGGCAGGACTTGATCATGATACACCTGTTTCTGGTATTGGCAAACTGGGATTTGTCACAAAAGATCAGCATGTGTCAGAAAATAATTTTGCAGCAACTCGATCTAGGCCAACAAGCTTAATATTGGAAAGCACTCAGTTACCTATTGTGCATATGGAAAATGCAGATATATATGAGAACAAACATATCGGAGATGAAGATCAAGAATATGATCGAGTTAATAGGTCTCAACAGACCTCTGAAGCACAGATTTTAAGTTTTGAAGATTCACCATCTATCAGCTCAGAAGAATTTGTATCATCATATGGACATCGCAGGACAGGGAGTGACACAAGTGGATTATCGGAACTTCAGGGCATGCTAACCTTTGATGGTGACATGGTTTCATTTGTTGCAGATGATCTTCAGGAGAAGATTAGACTAAGTAGTCCAAACTCAAGAAGAGGTGAGCAGTTAAGTTTTAACTTTATGATACATCATAGTAGAACTTTATAATTTAAGTTCATTCTTCTCCTAAACTTTTCTTTCTTGTAAATCAAATATATTGATTTATTCTTCTTTCAAGTTATTAATGGTTTAGTTATTGGGAGTGTTTAATGTATGTCTCTATTCAGCAAAAAGAAACAGATGCTACTTTTCTTTTTCATTGCTAAACTTGATGATGTATTGCACTAAACACAAGAAATAATTTTAGAATGCTGTTCACCCAAGAGGGAAACCAAAACTTCATATGTTCAGCATGCCAGACATTATGAACAATTAAAAATTTATGTAGTTTTGTGACTACTTAAGGTCAGGATTTAGCATAATTTATAGCTCATTAAATCCTTTACTAAAGGTTTGAAAAATTACTTCAATAAATCTGAATAAGGTATGTTTATTTTCTAAGTTATGAAAGTGTTATAGCTATATTTATATACCATAGTTCCATACCTCATTTTTTTACTTTAACTTTATTTCAAAATCAGAATTGTAATTGTATCCAAACATTAATGTAGTGGAATCATGTTAAGTGTGAATGACATAAATCAGACCTTTATGTAGAGACAAATTATACATGAAGTAAATACATGAAAACCTTTTACACTGAGTGTGAATAAGACATACAAAGAAAGAGATAATCAGAGACTAGTCATTTACAAAAGAGCTGTCTTATTATTATATATGGATGGATGGGCGGACAGGATTCTTTACAGTAGGTGTCTGTGACTTGTTGGCAATAAATTTCAACAATAAACAAACAGCACATAGTCCACTTATTTTAAAATATATTAAAACAAGTCAAACATATTTACAAATTTCCAAAATATACTTACTTCCGCTGACACTTACAGCTATTACTCGACCTCCATTGTTTCTTCCTTTGCCCATCTAAGCATTGGTCTGATTTTTTCTCACTGGCTCCAGTCTTTTATACCCCACTCAATTGCCCTTGGCAATATTTGTCTCATGATACTCTCCACCTACATCAACGCGCCCTCTATCCTAGTACTGTATATAAGCGCCTCATTCAGATGTTATCACTCTTTCACGACAAAGTATTTAGAATCTGGTTTTTCTAAATAAGTGCTGTGATAGTTAATGTCCTTGGGTGCAATTTTCACGTCACCTAGTTGATTTCTGTTCAATAATATTTTAACAAAACTTAAAATCTTTTTGTTTCAACATGCTATTTTCAGGCATGAATTCCTGGATTACTGTTTCCAGCATGGAGGCTAATTAGACCTACACTATTCCACCTCTGTTATCTTGCGTCTCTCAACAGTCGGAAGGAGGTGGTCCATTCTTGGGTGTGCCTGTCCATAATCTGATTCACTGTGAGATACAGACATATATTCAGTATGTGGGTGTCTCTCTGGGGGGTTTTGAGGCTGTTTTTGCCAATGATCTAGGACATTCTGGAGAGAATTTACACTCACTTTTTCCGATGCCTTCGTTTACTATGTTGACTTCTCACAAGATCAATTTGGATCAGCCACCTATTGCTACCTTTCTTCATTTAGTCAGTTGGTTTTGTAAGGTTCTGAGGCTTTCCTCAGTTGCCTTTGAGTTTACTCCTTCCATGATGGCAGAAAGGTCTGAGGGCAAATACTTAGTTTTTCCTCCTTCACCTGATATTGGTGTTCATGCAGGGAGATTTACTGTTCAGTTACTTGAAGGGATAGCTATGCCTTGTCCACCACATTTGTCAGAATAGCATGCATTGGCTTACCACTGCCAAGAGGATATATATTTAGATTTCCAGAGACTTGATTCACTTTTGGAAATGTGGGGTTCCAGAATGGAGCCTGTGATCACTTTGAACAGATCACAGATTTCTAGGATCAATCTGACCCTCACTACAGTTCTGAGATATTTATCTTCCCTCCAAATTTTATCGGAAGCCTCTCAATGATCCCCACATCAATATGATGACAAATTGGTTACTCTGCTAACTTCTACTTTGGTAAGATTGTCAGCTTCTGCTCTTTTGGTTTCCTGGCCTGTATGTTATTGTGACTCATTGATTAAAGATGCCTTGTTGTAAAGAGTTTTTCTACCTGCTGCCACCCTCTGTGAGTTACATGAGGCTCTTTTTCTTCATCCCTTGATGTTTATGGGCATTCCAGAGGTTTTGGAATCATGGATTGATGTTGCCTGCTTGCATTCTTCCTTGTCATTATTGGCCTCTCAACTTTCTTTGGCCCCTAGTGGAAGTCATGGTGCTATTGCTTGTCATGTGTCCCGACCCCTGACTCTAGCTGCTCCATCTATTGGTACCCAGATTCTGTTCTTATCCAAGAAGCTCCTCCACTCATGCAGTCTACCCTATGCCAGTGGTATATGTCGGAGCACAATTACAACATCTTCTAGACATTTGGAAATCCTTCACCACAGATCCATGGGTACTCCAGGTTCTGACATTGGGGTTGGTCATTAAGTTCATATTTCCACCTCCATTATCCTCTCAACGTGTGTTATTTCCACCCCTAACATTTTCACAGAGTGTGGATCTTTGTTCTTGGGCTATTTGAGTTGTTGGTCAAAGAGCAGTAAAGACAGTCAAACCTGTTCTTCCTATATTTATTTGTTGTGCCCAAGAAGATGGGAGATTAGTATCCAATCATCAATCTTTCTTGTTTCAACCAGTTCTTGATCCTCCTAGGTTCACAATAGAGTCAACCTACATTGGCATTTTTTACCAGGTCTGTGGATGACTAAGTTTGATGTTGCCGATGCCTATCTCCACATTCCCATAGCAGAGTCATCCTGCCACTATATACCTCTTGTGCACAAGGATCAGGTTCTGCAGTTTAATGCTCTTCCCTTTGGCCTAGCATCTGGTCATATGTCTTCTGCAGAGTCATATGAGTTTTTTCTTTTCACCTTCAATTTTTGGGCCTTTGCACACAGCATTATATGGACAACTGGTTACCTCTGGCACCATATTGTCAGTTGGCAAAATGGCACACCCAGATTCTCCTTTCAAAATCCATGAAAGCTGGCTTTTTTTATCAGAGCCGAGAAATCCATTTTTATGTTGACTCAATACGTTGTCCGTCTGGGTGTCATTTTCAATGTGTATTTAAGTCGGGCTTGGCTGCCTCTCTTCCAGCTCCATGTTGTGGAATGGGCAGTCAGGCCCTTACATATCCTCCTACTGTGTGGATGATTCTCTCTGTTTTGGGGAATTGCCCCCTCATACTGAGATTCATCTCTTCACAGATGCCTCATTTCAAGGATGGGGTGCATATATCAATGGTCAGGAATTCCAGGGTCTATGGACGGTTGACAAATCTTACTTCCACGTTAATATTTTAGAACTTCTTGCAGTCCAACAATTACATGGTGGTATCTTACATTTCCTGTCAAGGAAGCACGCATTCTTTGGACATCTGTTTTAAAACTTTGGATATTCTCTACTGGGCTCACTCACATCATATCAGCCTCCTAGCTTGCCATGTTCCTGGTGGGGGGATCAATTTAATAGCAAACATTTGTCTCACCCCAACTGAATTCTCCCAACCAAATGGATGCTATATCGTGAGGTTTTCTGGTGGATTTGCTCACAGTTTGGGACTCCAATGATTGATGCATTTGCCATTCCAGTACCTCATCTTCGGGCTTTGGTGATCGATGCATTCATTCAAGATTGGATGGGATTGCACCTCTATGACTTCCATCCAATTCATTATCCAGAGTTTTGACTATGCTTAAATCCATCTTATTCGAGTGCTGTCGGTAGCCCTGGATTGGCCAGCCCAACCATGGTTTCCTCTTCTTCAGTGTCTTCAAGAGTGTCCACCTCTGCTACTTCCACTTTGGCTATCTCTGTTGAGGCAACCTCGATCTGACATTTTACACCCATACATTCTGAAGCTTAAACTTCATGCATGGATGTTATGCAGCCCTTTGCACAGCATCAGGATTTAACTTCTAAAGTTACCTTATATCTGTATCAATCTCTTCATAGATCCACAATGGCTACTTATCAATGGAAAGGGCACACTTAACGCTAATGGTGTTTCATGAGGAAATTCAACCCACTTCAGTAAAATTTGCCCACTATATCTCATTTTTTGACCTGGCTTTTTGACAAAGGTCTATCTCTGTCTACTGTCAACTAAAATAAAGCAGCTTTATCGACTACTCTTTGGTATTTTAAACATCGGAAATTATATGAGACCCCACTGCTATCTGATCTTCACAAATCATTGTGCATCCTTCGTCCCAAAAGGCCTTTTCAATTACCTAAATGGGATATTAAGGTGGTATTACATGCTTTGTCTTGGCATCCATTCAAGCCTTTAGCCTCATGTACTATGTATTAATTTTCCCTTGACCCTTTTCAGACAGGTCATGAAGCGAAGGCTATGTCATCGCATTTATTGGCTCACATTCAAATTTTTATTGAGCTATTATTTCATGAATTTATGCCAATAATTTGGGTATCAAACTATAGATTATAATTCAAATTTAAAAGTAAATATTGAAAGAACAGTTAAACATCGATTTTTGTGTGTCACATTGTATGTTGAATGCACCGCTAGTTCAAATTACATGTTTGTGATGTCAACATACTAAGTCTGTAGTTTCATACAAATTAGGAACTCAAATTACCAATATTGACAAGCTATAATATAAAATAAGAACGTCTTATCTTTTCTATTTGCTAAGATACAGCTCATATAATGAATCAAACCCAGTGCTCTCCACTCACCTTTTTCCATTTTTGGAAATGCTCCCTTATATACATTAACTACTATATGTGACACGAATATCCAATCAAAAGCTCAGAATGTCCCCTTACTGGCTTTTTTAGCCATTTTAATGTGTTTGGACATCATCTCATTCTTTCGAACCAAGGTTTCAAGGAGGTAGGTTGTGTCTTTAGTCTGCTCGAAATTTCATATTTATTTTAGACCGAAATTCAGCTTAGTTACTAAGCTTCATAAATTATAATGG